GTCAAACACAGGGCAGTATTCTGTATGCTAGTTGAGTTATAGACTAGAAATACTATTAAGAATTTAGGGAAGGAAGAGATCACTTCAGACTGAAGTGTTCATAAGGCATCCTAGAGGAGGCAAGACTTAACTGTTCCTTGGAGAACAGGTGTTTAGGTTATGACACAGGGAGATCCAGGAAATATTTTTGCAATGGATTGTTTGTCTGCTTGATACATAATAGATTCTTAGTAAATATTTGAGTAAGTAAGGCAAAGCTGATGTGCAGTTCTGTTTTAGGGGGCCTTGCATACTATGCAGGAATTATGACTTTATCCTGCAGGCTGATGAATTTTCAGCTTTTTATTTGTAGAGTCCTTTTGAAGGATATCTTACATAGACACTGATATATAAAACAAATAGTTCTGATGGAACCTCCAGCACATAATCCTCATGCCCACTGTGAAGAGATCTGTGGATAGTGAGGATCTGAAAGACATGATCCCAGTGGCCTTTTAGAAGATCCATTTGGCAATGGTGTGCAGGAAGCACTTGAAGAGAGGGCATCTGGAATGGGGAAGAGCAGGTGGGAAGCCACTATAGTTGTCTAAGCCTGGAAAGAAAAGAAGCAGAAAGCCCAGGAAGAAAGGTCCAGGGCCAGCTTTGTCTATCCTTATGGCTATGAGTCTCGACCATTTCACATGTATGATTTCCTAAATGGGGTCAATAGGTATTTGAGAGATTGGGAGATTATCTGAACCTCCTTTCCACACTCTATTTCTGTGGGCTGTTGATAGGTTGTTGGCCTTTTTACCAGTTGGGCTAGGGGAATAATTCACTTAAGTGAGTTCACCATGGCACCAGCGTTAGTTCAAACGAGTATGTTTTTGAGGAACAAGTCATTGTGTGGAATTGATTAAATTATTCAGCCAGATACTTAGTGGTTTTACAAAGTTGACTAGTTTGGTATGTTCTGATTCTGCTGTAGCTTGTCTAGAAAATGGCTTAGATGATCATTTCTTCATATTTCTATAGGAAGGAGTGAGGAGTTTTCCTGGTCCATACTTTCTCACTACATCTATGACTGACGACAAATTTGAATGCTAACTATGTTCAACTAGAATGTTTCTGGAACTTTGGACATTGGGGTGTAGGTGAAGTCTCTTTTGTTCAGCAACCAGAGCTTCAAGTCTTGAGAGGAGCATAGATAAATTGATATGGAGGGAATTTTGTAGGTAGCATACCTCTTGTCAGATCATGAGATGCTAAAGACTGAATCACCTCAGTTGATCTAGATGGAGATTCTTGGAGGCTGGTGTGATTTTAATGGGGCTGGAGTTAGTGTTTGCTTTGGAGAATTCAACCACTATGTGTTTGTAGTAAGGATGTTTACTGATAAATACTTTTTTGTCATAAAGGATCTTGTGGCTGAGTCTTCCCAGAGAATTTCATGAATGTGAGTAGAGTGAAAAGTAAAGTCCAAGGTCTTGGACTTGGACAAGAGGTTGGTAATATAACTCAGTGTGGTCTGTGTTTTGCAGTGACGAGAGTGGATCTACCCGCTTATTTGGGATCAAGAACTGAGAATGCTGGGGATTGGGCCTTGATAGATGATGGACAATCTATTGCAACTAAGTCAAGATCTGCTATGAGTTGAGGGAGAAAAGGTTGGGGAGGAAATGTAGAATCTAGCAACTCTGTTTCTGGGCATGTCCTAGGCTGAGGCGTGTGTGTGTGTGTGTGTGTGTGTGTGTGTGCGCGCGCGCATTTATGTACATGCATCTACTCTATTGCTGGTGTGTGTGTGGGGGGGTGTAAGCTGTGGAGGAAATAGTTTGAGGATGTTTGTATTATCTTGTGTGAGATTCTTAACTTCTCAGATCCCTCAGACACTCTCTTTAACATTGTGTTCCTCTTGAAAGTCAATGAGTTGCCAAGAAACTTATACCTTCTAGAAACCAGGGATCCAGAACTCTTCAGCCTTCCTGTGTCTTCACAGAGTTGCAGAGCAGGAGAAGAAAAAGGCCTTGGGTTCCTTCTGATGTCCGTTTGCATCAAGGGTGGAAAGGAGTTTGGATGGATTGGGGAAACTGATGTCCTTTGCCTGGGCAACCCTATGGTCATCAGCAAGACACTGCTTTTTCAGGGAGGCCATAGTGTGAATTGAATTTTGTTGGACTTTAATCCTCTGACAATAGGCAATCAATGTTTAGCAATGTTGGTAAATACAACATTGTATTAATGGGGATTTATACTGTTATTGGACCATTCTGGAAGGCTGGAAAGTACAAAGAGCAACAAAAGGAATAATGAGCTTTCCTGTTCATTAACCACAGTGGAGATTATTCTCAGTACTTCCAAAGTGGCCCTACTTGCTCTACACCTCTTCCACATTTGTAAAGTGGAGTTAATATTTTCTGAATTCTAATCTTGTTCATTTCCTGTCAAAACCTTTCAGTGGTTCCTTGATCCATACCAAATTTTGTTTATTCATCTTTGCTTTTAAGTCTCTCTATAGTTTGGAGACAATATTTGTAGTGAATATTTATGCCAGGAATGCAAGTACGGTTTAGTATTAGCAAGTATTTGTTATCTACCACATTGAAAGATTAAAGGAAAAAAACTCACATCATCATCTTATTAGATAAATAAAACCATTGGGTAAAATCCAGTATATTGTTGTTATTTAAAAAAAATCCTTACTAAAAGTAGAAGGGGATTTTCTTAATATGATAAGGAGCATCTATGAAAATCATGTAACAGACATATATAGTGGGAAAACACAACAGGCATCTTTAAAATCATGAATATTGCAAGAATACTATCACCTTTTCTATTTGACATTGTGTGGACACAATGAATATGTCCACACAATGTCTATTTGACATTGTGTGGACACAATGAATATCACAATGAATATCACAAAAGAATATCACATGAAATTAGGGCTTAAATATCAAGGGCAAATGTTCAACTTTTAGTGGAAAACAAATTATCTTTCTGGCTTTGGAATAAGGAAGGACACTAACTCTAAAATAAATTAGGTGTGTAGGATTTTTTTTTTATATGAAGTTTTTCATCTTTGCTGGGTGCTTCCTCTCTGATCACATTTTCTGGCTTGAGATTTTCCTTACCTGCATAAGCAGGTAGTAATCTTTCTTGTATATCTCTCAATATTTATCTTCCTCTGCTCAGCTAATTTCCTTGTACCCAAAATCCAAACAGTTCCTAGTTCAGACATCTATGGCTTATATTTACATGCTGAACTGAGGTAGGGAATGGAAGCCAGAGGAGGAGTCTGTTATGGTCAGACAAGCTGTGGTTTGATATGCTGCTTATAGTTGAATCTCAGTGTGAGATCTGTGTAGGCTTCTGGAACATTCTCTTAATTATAACAGCTCCTTTGTCTAGCCATTTGGCAAGGACAGGGAGTAAGGATGGACAGAGGTCCGCTAGGGCAAGTCAAAGGAGGCTACAGTGTCCTAGAGTTGGCATAAACTGTGGGTCCCCAAATCTATACAAGCCGAGGAAGTTCTGTTTTTGTACTAGCAAAATAAAGCTTAGCTTGGTTGAAACATAGCTCCAAGGTAAGTCTGGGGCCTTGGAGCCAAATAATTTCACCTGTTTGGAGAGAATATCCTTTCCTTGCCCATTCTTTTGGTGGTTCTTCCAACCTCTACCCTGCCATCCCACCCCATGAAGTTAACAGATAATTCAAGATAGTTGGATAATTATCTGGTTTCCCATAGGGATTTGAGTGTTTTGTCTCTTGCTTTTAGTAGAGAGGGTGTTGAGATTATGGGTGAGTCTTGCTGGTCCCTACCTGCTCACTTGCTCAGTTAGCCTACCCAGATGTCCTTTCTTTTCACATCAATTATAGTCCCTTGTCTGTCTATAGGATTATGGTTTCTTAGAAACTTAAACTATTGTGCCACTATTCTCCATACCATAGCCAATGTGATATTTCTAAAGCACAAGTTCGTTCATCTGTTCATGTTTCCCACTTCTCTGATACACTTTGATGTCTTCTCATCGTTTTGGAAAGAGATCCAAACTCCCCAGTCTTCTTGATACTCTTCCTGTGCTCTCCAGTTTTACTGAACTGCCTATACTTTGAACACACTTTGCTCCTTTTCTCCTTTAGGTCTTTATGCATACTATTTCCTGTCTGACTTCCTTTTTACCTGGCTAATTTCTGCTCTTCCTCCAAATATTTTCTTTTAGAAATTTTCTCTCAATCTGGCATCACCGGGATAGTTTCTCAATTGGATCATGATACTTAAAATGTGATGTTTGAATGTTTACTTGGCTTTCTGCTCCATTGGACTTGGCTGTTTGAATGGCTTTGGGACAGCAGATACTGTGCTTTATTTGTTTGCTTTCCTTAAACTTAAATATGGAACTTGACACATAGTTGCCTCCATTAAATATTTTAATATTTAATAAAATATTAAATATTTTAATACTTGTACCCTTTTTTTTTTCTTTTTTGCAATACTGGGAGTTGAACCTGGAACCTCCTGCAAGCTAGGCAAGCGTTCTACCATTGAGCTACATCCTCATTCTGTCTGCAGTAAAATATTCAATTAATATTAATTTGTTAATTAAAGTATTAATTAACAAATATTCCAGTGTAGTGAGTGATAGAGTGCTTAGTCTCCCTCCAGTTTGGGAAGGGAGGTTGGGGACAGCATGAGGATCTTTCACCAAGTCACTCCGAATTTGTGGAAGAAGCAGAGCTAGAACCTGGCTTTTTTCATTGGAATGCACTTTGTAATGCAAGATCCTGCAGAAATGCTGGGCAGTGTATTTCCTTTTCTGTTGGTCTGTGATGAGGAGAATATCCTGACAGAGATGTCCCTGGTGGGTGGGCAAATGCACAGATTTATGGTAGTCCCATGAATGGGTTTACTAATGTGTTCTCTTTCCCCTCCCTCTTCCTTCCTGTTTACAGTGTCAAGCCAAACTCCCAGCCACAGATACAGGCTGGGGATGATGAGAAGAACCAGAGGACAGTCACTGTCAACCCAGCCCACATGGGAAAGGCCTTCAAGGTTATGAATGAGCTTCGGAGGTACTTTTCCTATCTTGCCTGTGCCCTTTCAGAAGGAACTTGCAGGGAAGCTTTATCAGGGACCAAGAACAGAAGTCAGAACGCCACCACCTAGTGAATTATGACTCTTCCCCACCCACTCTCAGTCACTTGGCTTCCTTCCCCTTTTCAAATTCTGAGACAGAACAACTTTGCCAGAAAATCTCTTTCCTTTATATTTATTTCACACCTATCATTTTAGTGATTAATCACAGGGGAAAATTCCTTTGTAGTTAAAGCAGGTCTGTTCCTAAACTTGATTTCCAACTGAACCAGCTGCTTAAAAACCAATAATAGAACTGCGACACCTACACACAATTGCAAACTAAAGATTGTAGATGTTATATATTTTCTTTTCGCCTCTCTTTCATGCCTCGGGTTGAGCTTAGCTTGGCAGGACAGCTACATGAATGGAAGAATACCTAGTTCCCTAAATGCAGTTTGACTCTGTAAAGAAAGAAATGACACACAAATGTACTCATCCTCATAGAACTAAATGGTGAGGGTCTGCAGGCTGTTGGGAAGGCCAATGTGTGTTTGTGTGACAAGCTTGTTGCAATACAGGTTTAGGGCACTGAACATATTTTTCTTTATGAATTCTGCACATGCAATCTTCCTTACCAAAGAGCTCGGCAGCTTCCTTTGCCCACCTTTATTTACTGGATTCTTTATTGTATTATAAAGTGAAATTGTTTACCACCTTTTTTCTTTGTAGCTCTTGAGCTCCCAGCGGGCAAGGACAACTTCTGAGTAATTTTGATCTCTAGCACTTGGTACGTCATAATAGCTTTGATTTTTTTTTTTCTTTCTTTTTTTTTAACCAAAGATGCCCAAAGGTACTGCCTAGGCTTTGGGATGGGTGGGTGGAAACAAAATCAGAAATGTAAATAGGTTAATAAAAATCATCTTTCTATAGTGTGACTGGTCTTATGAAGGAGGAATACAATAGGTGTCTGACAGGTGATAGATATGCAATAATTTGTTTCTTAAATAATGCAGAAGAAATAAGTATGTCGACTAACTTTGGAGAATACTTCTTAAAGAGAGATGATGCTTGAACTGAATGTGGAAGATTGAGTCAGCATTAAAGACATGAAGGATATTGGGGGTAGGGAGAAACCTTCTAGCCTGAGAAATGGCATATAGCCAAAGAAGTGTTGAGTGGGGCATGAGCTACTTTTAAAAGTTTGATTCTATGTTTGTTTCTTCATTTCTTCTTTTTGCACAGCCTAGTCTTTGGCATTAAAAAACAAGTTTAATTAAATTTGTCTTATGCTCTACTGCTCAATTTTTATTAGGCCTCCTGCCAGATTTCTTGGAAGCTTTGCCCCTAGCTGTCTTAGCCATAGGGCAGAGCTGATGTTCATGTCTATGGACTTGGTCTCTTGTCACTAAAGACTTTGTGTGTTGTTCTCTAGACACTATTTGAATCCCAACTTAGTTTTTTTGGGTATGACTTGTATCCTTTGTCTGATTTAAGAATCTACTTAAGAGTCTAGTTCTCTCATCAGGCCTTATTTTGCCTGGTGCAGCCAACTCTGGTGACCATTGAAAGGGAGAGCAGAGGGAATAGATGTGCATAGAGGATTCTTCCTATCCCCACTTCCCATTACTAGCATCATTTCATTTTCTTCAGCAGCTTAAAAAAAAAAAAGTCATCCTATGTCCTCTCTGCTTTTGTTACAAGTTACTAGCATTTGTATCTTTCCCAAGAGTAGGGCTTGACTTGGATTTAATCTCCCACAGTTCTGCGCTGCTTCTCTTTTGTATTATTCAACATTTGCCATAGTTTGTTCTGAGTAGTGTTTGTTTCCTCAGGATGCTCTGTGGGATAAAAGAGACCCATACCCAAATGAGTTTGAAAAAAGCTATTTACTACACCTCTCTGAGGTGCATAATGTATTTAGCATGTGCAATATACTTGTTTGAACATTTCCCACACATAATTGAGTGTTGTTAGGTAAAGACTGAGTATATTGTGAAATTTGTTTGGAAAATGCTGATCTAAACATAAAACATAGTCCTCTGCTGAAATTTAAGTAAATAATCTATTTTTCTTCTTTTTGATTGATCAAATGGACCACAGTCTGTATGTATTTGCCTAGGAAATTTTTAATTCAAATTTAGGCATGAATTTCACTTTCACTTTTTAAAATTAATTAATTAATTAGTTTTTATAAAAGGAATGTATTTGTTTCAGAACATTTAGAAAATACAGATGAACAAAAAGTCACTTACGGTTTTAATATTAGTGGTAACCATTGTTAACACTTTGGAGAATATTTTCTCTTTTTTTATATTTATTTTTTTAGTTTTAGGTGGACACAGTATCTTTATTTTACATTTATGTGGTGCTGAGGTTTGAACCCAGGGCATGCCAGGTGAGCACTGAACCACTGAGCCACAATCTCAGCCCCCTATTTTCTCTTTAAAATATGTCTAAACCTGATTTTTTTTATTCATGTAGCACTGTGTCAAATAGTCACTGTTTTATAACATTGAATGAATGATATTCTTTTTTTTGCTTTATTAAAAAAAAAACAAAACAAAAACAGTTCCCAGTTGTGGGATGTCTAGGTTTTCCCCATTCCATATATAAAAAATATCTTCAGTGGTTATCTTTGTAGCAGTATAATGTAGTGGTCACATAGACTTTGGTTTTAAATCTTGGCTCTAGTGCTGACTAACTGTGCAACCCTGGGCAAGTTAATTAATCTCCCTGGTCTTACTTTTGTTACCCGTAAAAGAAGGCTAATAATAGTACCAGTCTTGCTGGGTTGTTAAGAGGATTTATAAATAAAGTACTTAGAACAGTGATAGCACATTTATTACTATTGCTAAATATTTGTGCACATTCACGGTTATTTCTATGGAATTAATTCTTGGAAGTAGAATTGCCAATTTCCATGGTCTATAGTGTAATACTAACTGTTCCTTAGATGTTGCTGTGAGGCCCTGGCACACAGTGAATATTGTGTGTCAGCTATCTGATGATGATGAGGAGGAGGAGGTAAACACTCTACTAGGTGGCTGGAATATGACAGTAGGTAAGAGAACCGAAGTCTTTCCCTCTATGGAGCTTTTGTTCTCATGGTGTTCAAAAGGCTGTATCAAATTCCGAGATATTTAAATGATAATCTTCTAAAAACTGTAGTGAAATAGGCAGAAAGGGGACCTGGATGGATACTTGATTGATCTGGGTGACTTTAATGGGAAATGGAGAGAGGGTAGGCATACTTTGTTTAGAAGAAGGCCTGGGTTAAAGCATTTTGCCATGAAGGATTAAGCTAATGAAATGTTATATGATATTCCAGGGATCTGGGGTTATTTTTTTGTGTTGTTTTCACATTCCCCTCTCTTAATTTTATGCTATATTAGCTCAAGCACACTTTTTTTTTGCAATTTATGAATCACACAATTCATGAGTTTCCTATTATTTTTTACTGCCATGGTAGAGAAAGGGCTGTTGGCATGGTAACCACCCAGCTTTCTCTCCCTTTAGCACTAAATTGCTCTGCTCTAGTCAAACCACAGTGCCTCTGGGCAGCAGAGTCCTAGTGACTCTTTGGCCCCTGACTTACCATCCAGCCAGTAGTGGGGATGTGGTCCTTTTGAATGGCATACCCCGACTGGTCCTGAAAAGAAGGAAGCAGGAAGGACAAAGCAACCAATGAGTATTTAGAACCCACAGTGTTTCCTATTTCGACTCAACAGGCCTCCCCACTCCCTCACTCTGGCAGGGGATTGAACCCGGGTCTTGGCACATATTAAGCATTTGCTCTACCACTAGCTTCATACTATCCCCTTCACAATTTTAACCTCTCATTTCAACATTGGAAACAGTTCTCAGTCCTCATTTTTTTTTTTTTTTTTTAATTTGGATGCCCTGATATTATGCCTTTATTGCCAGCAACGAACCATCTAAACACATTGCTTTCTGTTTTTCTTTTAGTGACAGCTTTATAAAGATAGAATTAACATGCCATACAGTTCACCTATTTAAGGTATACAGTTTAATCACTTTGAATTTTCAGTGTTATACAACCATAGTCAATTTTAGAATATTTTTGTTGCCCCCCCCGCCCCAAGAAACCCAGTGTACTTTAGTAGTTACCCACTCCCACTTCTTCCCCTGTCTTCATCCCTTTCCCACTTTAGCTCCAGGCAACTACTAGTCTACTTTCTGTCTCTATAGATTGACCTATTTTAGAATCATGCCACATGTAGTCTTTTATGTTTACCTTCCTTTCACTGAGCATAATGATTTTTAGGGTTCATCCATGTTGTAGCATATCTCAGCTCTTATTCCTTTTTATTGCTGAATAATATTTCATTATATAGACACAGCACTTTTGGCAATATTGAATAATTCTTCTTCAAACATTCACGTACATGTTTCTGTGTGGATATATGTTTTCATTTCTCTGGAGTATATATTTAGGAGAGGGATTTACGGGGTCATATGGTTATGTTTAACCTTTGCAGGAAATGCCAGACTACTTTCCAAAACAGCTGTACCATTTCCATTTCATAAGCAGTGAATGAAGATTTTAATTTCTCCAAATCCTCTCTTAACACTCATTATTATCTGTTTTTTTTTTTTATTATAGCCATCCTAGTGGGTGTGAGATGATATCTTATTATTGTTTTGATTTGCGTTTCTTTGGTGACTCATGATGTTGAAAATGAGTTAATGTGCATATGAACAATTTCTATATCTTATTTTGAGAAAAGTCTATTCAGCTCCATTGCTCAATTTCCTAAAAAAAATTGGATTATTTTTGTTTTTTATTGAGTTCCCAGAGTTTGGATTTTTGTGTTCTAGATAAAACCCCAGTATCAGATAGATGATTTGTAAAAAGTTGTTCTCATTTTGTGAATTGGCTTCTTGTATTCCTGATGGTGTCCTTTGAAAAGTACAAATGTTTTAAATTTAGATGTTTGTCATTTTTTTCTTTGTTGTTTGTTTTTGGTGTCATTTAAGAAAACATTGCCTTTCCTGAAATCATGGGCTTTACTCCTGTGTTTTTTTCCTAAGAGCTTTATAGTTGTAGCTCTTACACTTAGGTCTTTGATCATTGTAAATTAATTCTTACATATGGTAGGCGGTAGGGATCCAACTTGATTCTTTTACCTATTGATAACCAATTATCCCAGCCCATTTCCCAGTTAAAGTTCTTGGTGCCCTTGTAAAAGAATCAAAATCAATTTCTGGACTCTCAATTCTGTTCTTTTGATATGTATAGTTATCTTTATGCTCGTTCTACATTGTCTTTTTTGCTGGCTGTCCCCCCATACACACACACACACCCAAACACATGTGCACATGCATACTTTTTCAAAAATAGAATCAGGGTCTTACTCTATTGCCCAGGCTGTCCTCATACTTGTGATCCTCATGACTCAGACTCCTTAGTAGCCTGGACTGTAGGCATGCATCACTTCACTGTGCTTGGCCTTCATCCTCTTACCCATCTCCCATCTTTGGACTCCAGATCTGCTTACTTGATAACCCTACTTAGATGCCCAATAGACAACTCACATTTATCACGTCCAAAACTTCTATTCTTAAAGAAAATACCTTGTGGGAATAAAGAAGAAAAAGAATAAACTAATATTTGCCAAGTATTGACTGTTAGTACTGTGCATTATGTCTTTTATGATATATCTCAATTCTGTGATACTCTGGAGATGGTGTAACTCTCCTATGCTAGAGAGCAGTGGGACAGAGGCTTGAATTTCAGTTAGTTCGATTCTAATACCTGAGCACCTTCCTAACAGCTACACTATACTTTTCTACAAATGGTAAAGCATATAGTCCACTTTTCTCTCCTTAAGATTGTTCTTTGGAGTAGTATCATAGCTCAGAAAAAAATGAAAGGAATCCATAGGATTTTTGATAAGTGAAACAGAACTGCTTGTGAGCCTTGTAGTGCTTTGGTACTGCCTTTTCCCTACCTTCAGGGAAAGCTTACCTTGACTTTTCGGCAAATTTCTCTTGACCATTTACACAGGTAGATTTATTTGGCCTTGAGTTTTGTTTTCCACCTGTTGGAACTGCTCTCTTTCATTTATTTAACTGGATCATCTCTATTCCCCATTCCTTCTTATCTCTTTCTCATTTGTTCACAAATTATCAGCCTTTTTGGATATATGCAATAAATTTCATTCTGACATTTGCTTGTTTGCTTCTAGCACTGAAAATTTGACTCTTTTTTGTTTCTCTTTAAAATATTGGTATCTAAAAAATTATTATTATTCATAAATAGAAGTAACTATAGCAACTATAAATAGCAGTAACTAAAGTCTCCTAAAATCCTTAATAGAAGTGAAAGTATCCAAGGTTTGTCTATTCATGTTGGGTATATAGTTTTTACAATAGTTTTGACCAGACTTAAAAAACAGCCTGTTCTCAGGTGACTTTCTGCCACTCCGTTTTATTTCTGTGATATGTGTCCTAAGGGCTACTAAGACAGGTGCGAAAGCTGTGGCAAGCTTATTTGTTCATGTTCTCATAGGGGCAGCATCAGTTGTGTTCCTGTTTGTGCTGATGTATTTTGATAAGGTTGGTGTGTGAGGTCTGCTGCCCACTGTGGGGTGAGGTCCCAACTCCTAGGTTTTACCTCTTGGTTCCTGCAGGTCTTACCTTCTTAGAAGCCTACCACTGGTACTTTACGCCATGTGGTGAACATTTCCTGACCACCTGTTGTGTTGGAAGCCCATTGTTTTCTGTCTTTTCCCATTCTGAGTGTCAGCCACTTGTGAGGCATCATGGTTGAGTGGGAAAAGCACTATTTCTGGAGTTGAGAATCGGCCTTCTCAGGCATCTCTTCACTTCTCTGGGCTTCATAGACCACATGACCTCTCAGGGCATTGCAGCTCCAGCTGTCTCAGGCTTTATGATCACAATTCTCTAAGTGAACCTGTCTTAATAGTTGACAGTGGCTTAATGTACTAGACCTGAGATGGCAAATATGTAGTTTCTCTTCCATCTGCCAAGCATGGTAGACTCATTAACTGGTTTCAGCATCCTCACATAAAACCCAGACATGACTTTAGATTTTTTGTACCAGTATATGTGTGCTAAACAACCACTACCAGTGAATCATGGTTGAGATGTGTTTGTTGTCCTGGTCTTCCCTCCTATCTGTAGTGCTTTCATCTAAAGGAGGCACTAGTAGGATTAGGTACCATAGAATGAGTTCTAGGGCTGAGATATGTGCATGAAAATGCTGTCTCCACTTTCTATACTCCCTTTCTGTGGGACCTTGGGAAAGTTACTTAATTTCTCTGGGCCTCAGTGTCCTCATTTTTTATGTGGAAAATAACAGCCCCATGTCATCATGTTGTAGAGAGGAATAAATGAACTAATATGTGTTAAAAATGCTTAGAACAGTTCCTGGCACATACAACTCAATAAATGTTATCCATTATATTAATTATAGACACGATAACAACTTGGAAGGCTGATAAAGGAAAAATTCTTGGTTTGACAGGGTCTTATGGCTCCCTGTCAATCTTTAAATATCCATCTGTCTATGAATATGAGTTGATTCCCATTTATTCATTCACTTATCCAGAAAAATGCAGGGTAAAGCTTTACCTTGACAGTTGTAGTGATTGGAGCTTGCAAAGGGTCTTCAGTTATGTGTGTGCAGGTAGAGGGCTCTTGGTTATAGTGTTAAATCTGGATGTGAAGAGACATGCTGGAATCTGGCTTGCCTCTTACAGTTTTGCATGTGGGTGAACCCTCGGGGAGTTGTTAGCACTCAGTCTTGCTGGTGGCACACTTGGTGGTGTGCTCGTGTACCTCAGCATTCAGTCATTCACTAGCAGCCTGAGGTATTGCCACTGCTTTCTGAGCCTTTGTCCCCCTAATTCTCAGTCAGAGCTGATGGTATTGGGAACAGAGAGTGAAGATCAATGAAGCAGCCTGACTTACAGCCACAGAGTAGTTGGATATCTCTTTGTGGAAGATTTATCAAGTACTTGAATGAAGGAGCCCATCCCTTTGCTTAACTCAAGATAGGGCAAATTTCTATGGCTACTTCATGTGGCAAACCAGTGTGAAGTCTGGGTGGGAGAAAACAATATCCTGGTATGATGTGGGTAGGTGTTCGTGCTGTGATCCATCCTGTCCCTTCACTGGTGTCTTGCAGTAAGCAGCTGTTGTGTGACGTGATGATTGTGGCAGAAGATGTGGAAATAGAAGCCCACCGTGTGGTCCTGGCAGCCTGCAGTCCCTACTTCTGTGCGATGTTCACAGGTATGGTGAGGGGCACACAATAACCTATGGTGTGGGGCTGCTGCCCCCCTGGGAGGACATTGATAGTGGTGGCACAAGGGGAGGGAGGAATGAGAAGGTTGTGAAGCTTACTGTGAGGAGTTTCCCTTTCTCAGCTTTGTACCATAGAGAACTTCTGGAATCAAAGTCTCAACCAAGCCAGCTGGACATGTAGACCCTTGACCACTACGAGGAAGAGAGGTGGAATCGTGTAGTCCATTAGTTCTCAAGCTTTAGCATGCACCAAAATTAGGGATCTTGTTAACAGTGCAGTCCTAGGTTCATTGCCAGGCCTTCTGGTCTCCCATTTTGCATGAGGGACACTAAGGCTGAGTGAGGGGAAGGGACTTGCACAAGGTCATACAGTGAATGAATGGGACTTGGATTCTTGACATCTGGCCTAGTGCTCTATCATTGGACCCACATCTTGTTCTTCCCTAGCCTTTCCTTCCAGGCAAGCACCTGGGGTCTCCTCTAGTCTTTATAGAGGTATGGAAGAGATTTGAAGAAATGATGGTGGGGATTGGTATTGAGACATAAGAATGATCAAAATCTAGCATAGTTTCAGCACCTTTGCCAACTCCCCAGGGATCCGCTTCCTGGGCACATGTAGGAAAGGATCACATTTTACACTTAAAACTCTGGGCTGAATTTCTTGAAATCCACAGGCTTCCCATCTGTAGTTCCTCATAGCACCTCCCCTGAATCAGATACATGCAGTGCTGTATAAATCACTGCTGATAGAAGGAGGCCATCAGAGCTCAAAGGACCCTCTGACTTGGTCAGGTGTGCCTATCTCATGTTTTCCAAGAACCATTTTCCTTCTCTGAATGTAGTGACCATCACTCTGCATTCTATTTCTCTGGTCTGTTTCCTGGTGTAACACTCTCTTTGGAATGATCACAATCTCAGTTTCAAGGTTTTTATTTCCTTTTTACCCCTTTCCTTCATCCATCTCTTTCTAAAATAATTTGTCTTGTCGCCAACAGTTATTTAGGTGAAACATTAATGAATAGCTATGCCAATATAGCTCTTTTTTTGTGTGTGTGGTTTGAAAGTCCAGTATTGAGAGAAACCTGTTTGGAATTGCAGTGAATTGTAGTGTTGGCTTTGCTTTTGACTGATGAACTTGTTTCTAGGGTAGATGAAATGCCTTAGAAAAGACAAAGTGATTTTAGAAATTGGGAGAACACATGCTTCTGGAGCAGGTCTTGGATTCTAGTAATTGAAGGGAGACTGCAAGAGAAGAAAGCTAGTCTCATGTAATGCCCAGCTCAATCCTTCCCTCGGGTCTGGTTACCATCCATTGTTCCATCCACTCATTCATCCTTCCACCCATCCATCCATTTGCCCATCCTTGAAAACACTATCCACATATGTAGATTACAGGAAAAGATCAGAAAATGTTAGCAAGCAAAAGTAAAAATAAATAAATAAAAAATTACATGTATTACATCTCCTAGGTTAGATTATGGTTTATATCCTTTCATATTTTATATTTATAAAATGCATATGCAAAATCATTTTTCAATATAAGTAAGTTCATTTTACATGTACAGCTGAAATGTCTTTTTTGATAGGTATAATTTTTAAAATTGCTATTCATTTTCCAAGGTGTTTTTCTTGCCTCTTTGCCCATGTAGCTCCTATTTGTCTTTCATTACCCCACAAGCATCCCTTCCTCAGGAGGGCCTTCCATGACCCCTCAGACTAGGTTAAATCCCTTTGTTACTTACTTCCGATGTACCTTATACTACTACTCTCTAGTATTATTACTAATCTCAATATCTGATTTCCCTGATCAATTATAAGCTCTATGAGGCTAAGAATTGTACTTTCTTAACTGATGCAACTTTATTGCCTACTGTAGTCTTCCATGCAATATGTGATTAATAAAAATGTTTAATTGAAATTGGCATTATATTATGAATGTCTTCCCATCCTAATTTCAATGACTTTGTAAGATTCCATCATGTGTATCCTAATAGAAAATCCATCTCTTCATTTGTTGGAAATTATAGTCTTAATATTTTCCTATTGTAAATAATGCTCTAATGGGCATCCTTGCATCTTAATCTTCATTTTGATTATTTCCTTATAATAGATCCCTAGAACAGGAAATACTTGGTTAAAGGCCATGCATATTTGAAGAGCTGTAAGATGTGTCACCTGCCCTTCAGCTGTTCCAGCCTGTACTCCCATCAGCACTAAATGAGATTTGTATATTCTTGAGGCCCCTTGGCTTTGCTTAAAATTTGGTATTAAATAGATATGAAAAACATTGCAAAATTCTGTTCTAATTATCAGATTTGGCTTTGGAATGCATAAAGTTCATTGTGAAAAGGCCCAGCTGACTCTTGTTAAATCTATTTCCATCAGCATGTTTAGGGCCCAAATAAAATACACATGGTTTTATTCTAACTAAGTTGTATGATTTTGATCTTTTAGTCAGGCTTAGGTGTTTTTATGTGTATATTTTTTGTCCTTTGAGTTCATGTTGTCCAAATTTCCTGTGGTGGTTCCAAATACCAGCTCCACACTCCTTGACCATGTCCTGTCCACATGGAATACAAATGGTGAAACTGAGTGCCTCTCCAGAGAGTGTTCAAATCCAGCCAGTGTGTAAGAAGATCTGAGATGGGCAGTCACCTTACCTGCCCTCTGTTCCTTTCAGGATAACATGGGTAGTGTGTATGCTGCCTACCTTTGTCCTGTAAGTATGGAATACTTACAGCTTTTCCACTCTCCCCATCTAGTATCTCCATTCCAGGGGATGCAATTTTCCTATAGAATGGGCTAGTCAATATTTTTTTTCTTACCAGAGATTGAACTGATTCATATCATATTGACTGAGTCATATCTTTAGTCTCCCCCACCTTTTTTTTTTTTTTGATTATGGACCTTTATTTAGTTTATTTATTTATATGTAGTGCTGAGAATCGAACTCAGTGCCTCAAACATGCTAGGCAAGTGCTCTACCACTGGGCTGCAATCCCAGCCCTCTTCAGCCCTTTTTTATATTCTATTTAGAGACCCCTGAGTTGCTTAGGGCCTTGTTAAGTTGTTGAGGCTGGCCTTGAACTCACAATCCTCCTGCCTCAGCTTCCTGAGCTGCTGGGATTACAGGCATGCACCACTGCACCTGGCTACTGGACTAGTCAATTTTATCATGCCTTTTACTCTGGGCTCTCTATGCACTATAGTATTTGCACTCCATACGAGTCTCTGACATGTCATCCCCATTTTTTGGTGTTAAAGGAACTAAGGTCTAAAGAATATCGGGTTTCAGGGTCTTACATCCATTATTAAGGCTCAAAGATGTTTGGGGTTAATCCCACATGAAGACCTGGGAGTGTTATGTCCCACACTCTTCTGATTCTTTTGTACCATATACAGTATTGATTTCAATGAGTCATGATCCAGTTTATATTAGATTTAGCCTGATGTTCAACTCATTCCTTTGAACATATGAGTAGAAATAGGGAGAAGAGGTCAGGAGTGTGCTGGGGTTTTAGAGGCAAGGGGGTTAGAATTCGAGTGGACACCAGTCATTCACAAAGTAGAACAACAAGGGCCTGGCTCTGTTATCCCTAGGCATGCACTTATTCCATAGAACATTTGTTTTACCCTTTCTGCCTGCCAGACCCTCCCAGGCCCCAGATCATGGCCTGTGCCTGTGTCCTGGGTGATTGTGTGGTTTGTCAGTGCCTTTAAAGAACCTCATATCATAGGGAATTCAGCAAAATCTAAGATAGACAACAGGGCATAGAGGGAAGGAGAACTAGGGAGCCAAGTCCTTTCTTAGGGCCTAGAGGTAGTAGAAGTAGAAGATAGACTCTGGTTTCTGAGAGCTTTGCCTCTATTGAGTCAGAGATTGGACAGAATATTTCATTAAATGCTAGAGGTACCAGAGTAATGTGGTACTCCAATAATAACTAATGGCCTCACCTTCCATGTGACTATCTTCTTGAGTCAGTCACCTTTGAACAAATGACAATGATGTAGGGTTTCTTCTTCCTATCCTTGAAATATCACATCAAAGTCAGACATCCTTTTCTGTCTTAGAAGACTCAGAATGGGGACTGAGAAATACAATACAATAGTTATGTCTAATAATGTAACATTATTAGATAATAATAAGGTATCTACCATATCATTGTCTTGATGTAGAAATGGCTTTTTAAGCAGTGATTTGGATTGTGGTTCCACAGAGGCCTTTTTATTGCCTAGGAATGGAGACTGCCATTTATCTTCAGCATCTCCCCATTAAGTTGCACCTGGTTTGACTGAGATGGCTTAGGGTAGACTTGTGTGAGCTTAGAGCTCAGCCTTAAAATACACATCATCATGGGAGGTCACTATTGCTAAGGAATGTTTTATGAATGTTAACAGGAAGTGATATAGAGGCCTTTTTGCTAAGGATTTAACACTAAAGTGCTGATGCCACCTTGCTTTGGGAGATAGCATGGTATCTTGGAGAGGGCTTTGGAGCCACAATGACCTGGCTTCCAATTCTATTCTCAGCACTGAACCGAAGAACTCACTCACCCTCTTTGGTCCTCAGTTTTCTTATCTGTGAGACTGGAGTAATAATAGCCAGAGAGCAAATATAGGTAATGGGTTTAAGGCACCCAGCACAGAATAGGTACTTAATGCAGTTTACTCTTATTTGTAGAGCAATTCATCATTTCCAAAGCACTTATGCATTTTAAGGGGTAGCTATGAAACTCACCATCCTGATGGTGTTTAGGATTGATATGAAATGTTTATGTGGCTACATAGGTGTTTTCTTCTGCCACTAGCTGGGAAGAGAGACCTGGGCAGGTGGAGGAGGTCTGAGATTCCAAGGAAGGTGGGTGATGAGGTGATACCTACCACTGTGGCTCTGCAGGATCCTGCTGTCCCAACTTTCTCTCTTTGTCTCATTTAGCCCAGAAAATAAGGCAGGGCAGGGAATGTCCTTATTTCACAGGAAACAGAGG